ATCACGCACAAAAGTAACGTTTACATTAAAATCCAAAATATAAGTTAAAGTCGTGACATTTACGTTCCATGACAGACAATTAAATTGAATTTCTTCTATTCAAATTAAAAAATTAAGTAATTTGGTTAATTTAAAAAATATTCTAGATCTGAACGTAAAGATATTTGAATACGCATGCGTATATGTCAATTTTAACGTTTATGTTTACAGCATCACTTAAAATATCTAATATTTAGGGTATCACAGGAATATATTCAGAAGTAACGAAAAGTATACAGGCTGATTTAAAAATCAAATAAAAGCTGTTATAGTCTCAAAATTTAATATACAGAGTGATTATTTTTAACTGGTGCCCTGTTCTGATATTGGACAATTATTAAAAATTACGTGCTATTTATTAAGTAATATTTAAAGTATATAAATCTGTGGTATGCTAAAGTGAGTTTTATTAAATAAAAATACAATAAAGTCATTGTTGATAACAGATTGTTGACGACATAATCAAATTTTGACTTTTCTTTCGACGGTGCAACCTGATCATTTTGTAAATCATTCATAAAATAATATGTATTTTTTTAAATTTTGTATTGCGTGCTTCATATTATTGAATATTTAAATTATATACACTTACGGCTTGAAGGGATTTGAAAGTTTTTTTATAAATTTGAACATTTCTTGCATAAAAACGGTGGACAGTTTACCATAACAATTTCCATGTTTCATATATTTATTCAGGCATTAGAATTATAAAGGGTCGCAAATGTAAAGTCCGAAGAAGTAATGAAACCTTTTAAATAAACAATTAAAGAAAAGAGAAAATCAAAGTCAGTTCAGACTGTCCGTCTTATATTAAATACTAGGTGTCTCGTAACCATACCTTTAAACTTTTTAATGTGGTAGGTGCATAAGAAAGAAACATTTTTGTTTAGTTAACGTCTGTTCAAAAAAGCTTCATTTCCAAATTATAGGGCGTTTAATTTAAAAACAAAAAAGTCGAATTTTATTAAATAATTTAAAAATTTTGTAACCTATTTCAATTAAATTTTTACAGTTTATTAATATGTTCTTGAGGTATCTTTTAGACCTATTACATTTTGCATAAAAATAAATAGATTTTTAAAATTTATTTATTTATTTTTTTAATGAAGCAAATAAAATACAGCTTTATGTTTAAAAAAGTTGCGCAACCAAATATGTGGCCGACCTTACCACAAGGTTGTCACAACCCTGTTTTGCACCAATTTGGTTAATCATTTGTATAATAATTTTTACACCAAGTACAACGTTAATTTTGGTGTTTTATGTGGTCATGGTCGCCAAAATGCTACTTGGGAATGTATTTTCAGTTGCTTTATTCAAAAAAATTATAAACTCCGCACCCAACCCAATATATGGTATATTGTGGGTTTGTAGCTTTCTACATAGAGCCGCCTAGAGGAGCTTTATCTATAAATATAAATATTTACTGCGCGTTATTATTTTTGTGCAAAAGGCGCTTTATTTCGAAAATGAAGCATTTTCGGACAAACTAATATATCTATTAAGCAAAAGTTGTTTATTTGGCTGTAAATTCAAAGAGATAAAAGTTTAAGTTCTCAAATTTTTATCGATTTTGATGCAGAAATTGTTAAAATTTTGAAAAAATAGGTTTGCCAAAATCAGTTTATTAAATATTGTTGTTTTATTTATACCAATAATTTTCTAATATCAAGATGGCCTACTTCTTGAAAACGTCTAATCAAAGGACCAGGCACCTTCATTATAAAGAAATGGCGTTCGATAAAATTTTCTAAAACTTCGCTAGGTGATAGTAGTTAACATAGTTACCAGAAGTGTCCATGGCCCCAATCCAATACTAGGGCTAGTTTTTGATAGTTCTGAAATAGCCACTTTTCATAACGCCGCAGTCGGAAACTGGGTACAACAATTAAGGTTTTCTATGCCGGATGTGGTTTTTTAATTCTTACACCACATATTCACATAACAAAACTTTTTGTAAAATCGTTTCGTTACAGGGCGATTCGAAGATTTGGGAAAGATATTTTTTTTAAATCTAAAATCTTTATTACAACGGCGAAGGAGTTACCATCTCACATTTCTTAGTATATTCAATGTTTGAGAACTCAAGGCTATCTATTCTAAGGGTGAAATATACAGTGTGGTCCAGAAAGCAGCTTACTAAAACATTTATTGTTTACTGCTTCATGTGCTTATCAACGTGTATTTATCTTGAGTAGGAGTTTTGAAAACTACTTTTGAAACAATAAGGAATCCCTTTATTTTATATTATACAGGGTGATGCTTCCATAATAATTATTTTCTTCAAGTAAAATTGGTATAAAATCACAGTGTTCTGTACCACACTGTATAACAAAAATGAGTCAGCTAAATATTAATATTTTTATTTCTATAAAGTAAAAAAGATATAAACTTTAGAGTGTAAAAGATTCAATCAATTTGTTTAACTAGTTTTACCTGTACTCCAATCTCAACACAACATCTTCCAATAAAACGGAATTATTTGCTCGGGACATCTTATCATTTTTATCGGAACAAACCAAAATATAAAAATAATAAGAAATAAGATATAAATCTAAAACCACAGCAGTTTGTTGCTGTTACCGTATTTAAACTTGTTACGCTATATTGCATTAAAAACATTCTAATAACACAAACATTATTTTATTCAAATATTTTTAAAAACTTTTTTAAAAAAAATACATAAAATATAAAAACAGATCAGCATATTATTTTTCAATTATGTCAGGACCTACTGCTGTTTCAAGTTCTTCTGCATCCCAAACACAACCTAAAAGTAGTGTGGACGGATATTTGATATTTTTAAGTAGCCTCGCGTATTCTAAAAACTATATTATACATGCAACATGGGCACATGATCCAATCGTTCTTGCACCAGACTAACATGTGCGGATCACCTGGATTTTGTGATTCATTATTATAAACTATCCATGTCATATACTTGGTATTATTCCTAAATCGAGAAAATACCCTAAACCTTAAAAAGGCTTCTTCATAGAATACCCGATCAACTTTAATAACATTAGCTTCATTGTGTTGAATAGTATCCTCTATGTATGATAAGGACAAATATACGTGATATGTACCAGAAATTGTTTGAAGGTATTGAAGAGTTAAGCGGGGAAAGTCAGGAATATGTCCATTGTTAAGTGGAATCCACTGACCATTTCGGTGCCTTAGATTTTCAGCTTCTACTCTAGCACGAACTACATTTAATTCTTCCAATCTATCTACCAGTTGTCTTCAAGTTTCAGCTGTTCCCTCAATATGAATTAGGGTAAAGTATTTATTTAGGAGCGCTCCAACAATCAAATAGAAATCACGCAAATGGGCTGCATGATGCGTTGAAATTGTCTGTTTGAAAAACCTAAATACAGATTTAAGGTGACCATTTCTTGCTTCCACTACCCTCCTCGTAGTTGTTATCAGGCGACATTTATATGCATCAACCGTATTTAGTTGGTTTTGGTTCCTTAGTGGAATAGTTGGCATATAAATGGTAAGAACGGGATTTTCCATCGTTTCAATTGAATCTCTGTAACTTCTATCAACTTATTATGACATCACCGTCTTGAATCAAATTCTTATATTTCCTATATCATTTTGTGCCTCGTTACGCAATATTGCAGCATCATTATTCTTGGAGTCAGAGAAGTAAGGCCCATGAATTGCCAAAATATATTCATCTGGAGCAACAATTATTTCAGGCTTTACCAAATGCTCTCGCTTGTGGAAGCAATAAGATTTTCTCAGTATACAAAAATTACTGCTTTTTTCAATTTTATTATATGTACAATTACTTTTGGAATATCGGGAGTGGTGTTATAAAGTTGATTAGTAAATTCGGAACATGTCTAATTTTCCCGTGTTATAGAGTTGAAACCGATATCGTTAGGTACCAAATTTTGTATCAGAGATAGTCTAACATTAGGTATAATCAGACTAGTAACGTGTCTGGTACTATAATTAAATAATATTTGTAGAAACCCATCCGAAACGCCATGTCGCAATTTCACTAAAAATGTTAGTAAGTGTTTTTCTTGAACTTGTCTTTGGCTATCACAATTTTGAATATTAAGTAGATGCATATTTTAAAAATATTGATTTTTTTTTCTGGATCCACCCTGTCGATTAGTATCTGATCTTCATTAATAAATAAATATATGTAAATAGAGTTATTTCTTTAAAGGTAAATCAAAAAAAATATATTTAACTCATAAGATTGCAATATAAAAGTACTGAAAAATATTTTGCAACACTAAAATCTTGTACGCACCTATAAAAAACAAATGTGAAAATACCAAGTATCCATCCAAACGACTTTTATAATGTTTGGGATGCAGAAGAACAGTAAGTCCTAAAAAAATTGAACACTAATGTGCTGATCTTTTCATGTATTTTATCGTTTATAGAAAAAGTTCAAAATTTAACGTTGTTTTTTTTTGGAAAGCTCTTAAAAATGTTGAATAAAATAATGTTTCTGTTATATAATATTTTTACTGCAATATAGCGTAATAAGTTTAAATACTATAATAATAGCAAACTGCTACGGTTTTAAATTTATATAATCTCATTTCTTACTATTTTTATCCTTTAGGATAAAAATTATAAGATGTCGCGAGCTAAGAATTCCGTTTCATTAGTAGATGTTGTGTTTAGATTTGCGTGCAGGTAAAACTAGTCAAACAAATAGAATGCATTTTTACACTCTAAAGATTATATCATTTTTACTTTATATAAATAAAAATATAAATTTTTAACCGACTAATTTTTTGATACAGGGTGGTGCAAAAAACTGTGATGTTTTACCAATTTTACTTGCAGTAAATAATTTTTATGGAAGTATCACCTTATAGAATATAGTAAAGGATATTCTAATTGAATCGCTGATTGCAGAAAGGGTACAAGTCATGTTTTCGCATATTTTGAGATTTTTACGTGAATCGACTGTTTAACCCAAACCTCATCGTTGTGCGCATATGAAGGATTAATATTCTGATAAACACCATATAAAATATTAATTCATTTTAATAACGTTGAGTACAGAAAAGGTCTAAGTCAATTGACTTGTACCCTTTATGCAGTCAATCGGATCGCAAGGTGGCGCTGCTAGTGAAATATCGGTAGTTGTTATTTTAGTATTCTGTCAGTTAGATTATCTTGTCCAGCCATGGAGGACGTAAATAATTTAAAACGTAAAAAAGGGGTAGTTAACTGCGATGGATATAAAAGGAATATCATTAAAAAGTGCCGGTAAGTTTTAGTCGTTACAATAAAACATAATCTATTAAATTTTTTAATTTTTTTTTAGTGTTAAAGGCCAAGAGTACGTAAATTATAAAGGTAATGTTCTGCCCGCTAAATTTGTTGGAGACCCATGTTACTGCAGGTTCAAATGCTTAGAAAAGATTACTAATGAGCAGCAGCTAGAGGCGTTTGAAAGATTTTATAATTTAGCTACAAAGGACGGACAGGACTTGTATTTACAGGGACTTATTCATGTTTCTAGTATCAAAACTCGCCGTCCACGAGTACAACAACTTAGGGAGAACTACAAACGTAACAGTAGTTTGAAATATTACGTACTGATTGCAACTGAAAGAAAAATGATTTGTAAAAGGGCATTCTTATCTGTTCATTCCATCAGTAATAAAAGATTACAACGTATTCAGCAGTTGTTACAAGCCGGAGTTACGCCTACAGATAAAAGAGGAAAACAAGTCAGTGCTAATATTATCCCCGCCGAAGAGAAGATTCGTATTCATGAGCACATAAATTCGTCCCAATATTTTTCGAGAGAATATCAGTATCTTAGCTCAGAATTGACAGTAAGGACCATGTATTCGATGTTCAAAGAAAAATATCCAGACTCAAAGATTAGGTGCGAATACTACAACAGAATTTTTAAGGACGATTTTGATCTGAAGTTTGGTAGGCAGAAGGTCGACACATGGTGCACTTGTGAGAATCTTTCAATCAAAATTAAGAGTAAGGATCTAAATAAGAATGCTAAAAGAGTTGCTATTGCTGAATTGCTCGTGCATAAAAGACGGAGTAAAAAGTTTTACACGGAACTGCAAGAGTCAACAAAGAAGAGCAAAGAGTCTAATAATGTAGTTGCCCTTGCGTTTGACTATATGCAAAACTTACAGCTTTCAAAAATACCAGTACAGGATTTATTCTATTTAAGACAATTAACAGTAAGCATTTTTTGTATTCACAACATAAAGACTGACCAAGTTGTTTACTTCATTTATCATAAAGGTTGTGGCAAGAAAGCCCCTAATGAAGCATGTTTCTTCCTTTACCAGTATATAAAGAAATATATACCTGATAGTGTGAGGGAACTGCTTCTCTTTAGCGACAATTGTCCTGGTCAAAACAAAAATAACACCCTGATTCGAATGTGCCTGTTCCTGAAAGATTCCGGCAGATTTGATGATATTCAGCAATACTTTCTCATTCGAGGACACTCGTTTCTGCCTTACATAAATTTCTAATCCATCTTGTGGATGGAAAGGATATAGTGAATTTTAAAGACTGGTGGCCTGGACTTTATAAAAAAAACAGCTATTTCTATTGAAACTTCTCAAAGGGGTACGCCAAGAGAGAAAAGTTGCGTTTAACATCAGCAACTTTCATCAGTTTTTCTTCTGCAAGAATGATAGGAAAGGTGTAGTACTTGCCAAAGACTACATTAATGGATTCGAGAAACATACATTTTGTCTAGGACTTTCCAATATTGTAGCCGATCCTAAAGTATTTTGTTATCTAACAGGAAAACTTCCTATAAAATCAGATAAAATAGATCACATAAAGAAATCGGCTAAATATGTGAACGACGTTGAAGGAACAAAATAATTTTGTGATAGTATTTTTAGTTGGCCTATTATAAATTAAAAATCTGTGTTTTGTTAATTCAATTTTTTCTTACAGTCTGTCTTAATAAAATGTTTTTCGTCAATTACTCCCTCTTTCTTTTTGATTCTTCCAATTGATAACAGAAAGGGTATATGTTAGTCAACTTAAAAGGTCTATAACTTTTTACTGCTTAAAGCAAATATTTTCAATAACCCCTAAAAGAGATAGTGTTTTGATATTGTTTTTACATGCATATTCAGTTTTTTTTATAAATTATGCTCCAGTTCGGAAAACAGTTATTTGCATTTATCACAGAAGTTAAGTTCAGTGACATATATCCTTTCTGTGATCAGCGATTCAATTTTTGTAAAGGTGGTTTTCAAAAATCCAACTCGAGAGAAATACACGTAGGTTCGCACATAAAGCAATAAACAAGAAATGCTTTATTAGACTGATTTCTGGTTCACCCTGTATAATTCACCCTTGAAATAGATCGCTTTGAGTTTGAGAACCTTGAATATACTAAAAAGTGTGGGATAGTAACTGCTTCGCCGTTGTAATTAAGATTTTAGAATTAAAAAAAAATATCTTCATTAAATCTTCTAATCACGCTGTAACTAAAAGATTTTACAAAAATATTTTTATGCGAATATATGGTGAAAAAGTTATAAAACCACCTCCGGCATAGAAAACCTTAGTTGTATTACCTAGTTTCCGACTACGGCGTTATGAAAAATGACTGTTTCAGAACTTTAACACCCTGTATATCAAAAACTAGCCATAGAAATGGATTAGGGCCACAGACAATATTGGTCACTACGTTGACTACTATCACATAGCGAAGTTTTAGAAAATTTGACAGAACGCCATTTCTCCATAAGAAAGGTGGCTGGTCCTTTACGAGATTGTTTCTGACTATGATGAAACTTACTTCACGCTTATTGCTGTGACGCAACTATACTTTTACTACATATTTTAACTATATTATTTTAAATAAAATATTAATATGTTTTGCCACTTTTAAACCTACTGATCATTTAAGATATAACAGATAATATTTCCTAGTTTGATTTCCTCAGAAGAAGTCATAATGTCAAATCCAACCAATATATTGGCTATTATATTTATATTTTTTATTATATTGGTATCTTGATGTTTAAAATCAGGATATCAAAATAAATTTTCTTTAAACGAGAATCCAATAATTTACTTAAATTATTTAAATCACTCAGTATATGAAAATGCATAAATAATATTATTCGTGTGACACTCTGTATTGCATGTGCTTAACATCTATCTTCATTTGATTTTGTAATAAACAAGAATGTACGAACTAAGAAAAATAATAAAAAATTTATCTGTTCTTATGAAGGTCGTATAAGGAAAAAAATATTTTTCATATATTTAACCCATTGTATTCCATATAAAAGAGCTTTATGTGTTTGCAGACTTATAAAAACGTAAGAATCTCCAAATCAGTTTGAATACAAAGGTTATTTTTTGGCACTATTTCTGAATAACATTTTTTATTATTATTTTGAAATGTTCAGAATATTAAGCTAAATAATCTCTAATCAACCCATAATAAATTGTCCAAAAAGTAGTGAAAGTAAAAACGGATATACAATACAGAATAAAGAACCATTAACGAAGGGACTTGTAGATCATAACTAATTATATAGAAAAGCTTAATATTATTTTTCTGTTAACGAATTATAATGCAATAAATAAATACCTATTTTTATAAAACTGATCAATATATATTGATACATTTTCAACTGTCCATATTTAGTCATTAATATTTAATGATTAATATTAAATTATCAATAGTAAATGCTCAATATTTAATTATCAATATTTAATTATTAACATTTAATTCTCTGAATATCTTTATTAGGTAGGATCGAAAATAACTTTTTTTTTGATTTTGATAATGACCTGGGTGGCAAAAGTTGCCATTCATAAATCAATCCCTTCAGGTGCCCCAACCACCTCAAAAAATTTTTTTTGGAAAAAAAAATCCGATACGGCCTTATCTGTAAACTATTCTTGAATATTTAAAAAGTGTGTGTTTAAAAATTGGAGGCTCTCGGAATATTTTTAGAGGTGCCCCAAAGGCCTAACAGCAAAACATGAAATCCTATTTCATGTAGATAATACACTTTTAGCTGGAATCTAAACAAATTAACGAAAAAATAGATTTATTGACGATAGTACGACACGTTACATATCTATAAGGTAGAAGCAAGTCAAAAACTCCGAACAAAAATATTTAAAGTAAGTGTAGGAACAATAATATAGGTAAGAAAAATAAAACTGAAAATTAAACAAAACTGAAGCTGCCAAAACATATTGAGCTTAAAAGAAACGTGTACCAATATACAAGAAATATGTTATTATTAACAAATATTAAACTTAGAACGTATGTTATTATTAAAATAAAACAAAAAGTTAATTAAGCCTAAATTCTGACTTAATTAAATGATTTCATAAGCTTCCTAGACTAGATTCGAGATTTCATGAAACCATCTCGTTTTTCCTCTCCACAAACTTTAGATAATGCCTCTGTAACTAAACGTACATATCTTTGAGTGGCCTAAGAGTTTTTATTTATTCTGACTTTCAAATATATTTTGGTTACTTTTTACGGTATTTCGTTTTATTCAAGTTAATTAAATTTCTATAGCTAAAAATGTTATATTAATTATTGTTTCTTTTGTTTCAGATACCAAACAAAGTGAAATGAGCGTAAAAACTCCTACCAGGAAAACCACAATTTATCCTATCTTTGAAACCCTTGCCGAGATGTCCCAGCTAAAACTTCTCACAAATGCGGATATAATTCAACACTACTTATTTATCAGGAATGAGAAAAAAAGGCATCGTGGCAGGCAAAGATCTACAGGCTTTAAAAATAGCAACAGAAACTGCAAACACCGTAGTGGATATATCTGGAAGAAGTCAGTTCCAACTAAAGATAATATGATGTCTATGGTTCCAACAATTACATTTAAAAAAGTTACTGAGATAATAAAAAAATTAAATACTGACTATAGGACTTTACTTAAACCATATAAGGGTAAACAGCAATCTGAAAGCTACACAAAGAAGCTCAAAGATTTAAAACTTAGCTGGGAGGAAACTCTCTTTGGTATTACTAGTTATAAATGTAAAGACCTCAACTATTGCCATTGTTACAAAGAGAAAAAAATTCCAGCACAAGAAAGGGAATTTGTAATAGATCAGCGAACTACCACAAACCTAGTCATAGGATCAATTGATGTAGCATACTCCAGGAAAATAGTAAAAAGAAACCAAATGAAAATGGAACGATCCCAAGAACCTGAAAAAGTCTAAAGATGCTGATCTGGGCCAAGAGACTCTAAAAATGATACTGAAAATTTAACTGACTCTGATTCCTAGTCCTATTGTTCTTCCACAGCTTAAGACCTTTTAAAATTGCAAATGAGGGTAAATCTCACAGCTTTTGCTAGGGAGTGCTGCATCACTTTCTTCTGCTCTGCAAGATTTGGGAATCATTATTGAACCGGATACTTTTAAAATAATAGATCGAAATAAAGTTTGTCGGGAAAGGGAAAAGCACAGGAAATAATTGCAAAATAACAACATAAAGGTACTAAAAGGGTTACATTTTGAAAGACGGAAGGATAAATCCCTTACACAAACTAAGACGACTACCGCATGGTGGTGTCACGAAATGGATAACCTCAGGAAGATGGCTAGGAAATCCTTTAATAAGGCAAGAACCACAAAACTCAAAGAGGACTGGGATACTTACAAATCTCACCTCAGAGAATACAAAAAAATCGTCAGACAAAAACAGAGAGATGCGAGATGCATGGAGATCCTACTGCGAAGAAATCGATGATTTCATTCAGGTAGCAAGGCTTCAAAAAGCTCTCTTAAAAGATCCACACTGAAGCATTGGTGCGCTTATCAAAGAGGATGGCACGAAAACTGCCAACTTCGAAGATAGCATCAAACTTCTGCTGTCAACACACTTCCCTGACTCGGTCATCACAGAGACGTGGCCGACTGGAAAGAGGAAGAATACAATCCATCTGTCTATGATTGGAAAACTGCCAAACACATTGTAGACGATGAAAAAATTAGATGGGCAATATCCAGCTTCTCTCCATTTAAATCGCCAGGACCTGACGGTATCTATCCAGCCCTACTTCAGTGGGGTCTGGAAGAGCTCACACCGCACCTGGTGGGTATATTTAGATCCTCGTTGGCTCTGAGGTATATCACCAAAAAATGGAGAGAGGTAAAAGTGGTATTTATACCCAAACCTGGAAGGATGATTACACTGTTCCAAAAACATACCGACCAATTAGTCTGACATCGTTTTCCATGAAGACATTGGAAAGACTATGCGAAAGGTACATAGGCGATGCTGTGATTACAACAACATCACTACACCCAAACCAACATGCATATACCCCAGGCAGATCTACTGATTCAGCCCTTCATCTAGTTGCTGGGCGGATAAAAAGATCCCTGGACAATAAGGAGTCCGCCTTGGGTGTTTTAATAGACATAAAAGGTGTTTTTGATAAAACCACCTTCCCAAAGATAATACACTCACTAACCAACAGGAATATTTTACAAATGGTTAGTGGGTGGATACATAACATGCTCTCAAAGCGAGCAGTAAACATAAGTGTAGAAGATGTGAATATAAGAGGCTTGGTTGCGAGGGGACGTCCACAGGGAGGGGTGCTATCACCTCTACTGTGGTATATGGTCCTCGACACCCTCATTAGCCTTCTCAATAATGACAGTCACTACACAATCGCATATGCAGATGACCTGGTCATTCTGTAAACAGGAAATTTTGAGAACATACTCTGCGAAAGAATGCAAGTAGCTCTAAAAATTATAGAACAGTGGTGCAAGGACCATTCACTGTCTATTAATCCTAAGAAGACAGAAATGGTCCTTTTCATAAGAAAAAGGATGAAAATAGAATTAAAACCTCCAGAACTCCTAAATACAAAACTAAACTTTGCGAGAGAGGTGAGGTACCTAGGTCTCACCTTTGACAGCAAGTTAACATGGAAGTCGCATTTAGAAAACAGAGTTAAAAGAGCATACATTGCTTATGAACAATGCCGCCGTACTGTGGGCCTCACCTGGGGTTTCTCCCCCAGAGTTATCGCATGAACTTACACGGCTAACATACGGTGCAGTTGTTTAGGTACCGAAAACCCAAAAATTAACAGCTATCCGTAAACTAGAACAAATTCAAAGAACAGCATGTCTCAACATAACAGAAGCCATGAAAACAACACCAACCAGAGCGATGGAAGTCATTCTTAGTCTCACTCCCTTTGATGTTCACATCAAGGAGGTTGCTCTGACGACAATGACACGCCTCCGCACGGTTGGAACAGAACCTGATGTAGGATCTGGTGAGGCTAAACGTCACTTTTGGTAGGAGGCTCTCGATACGCTCCCACTGCTTCAAGCGAACATGGACTCTATCTCACCGAGATATATCTTCCATAAGCCATATAAAGTTATAATGAAACAAATAGAAGAGCCAGAAGTGGCAGGTACGATTCATATCTACACCGACGGTTCTAAAACAAAACAAGGCTCAGGATGCGGGATATACTTCAGATTCTTAAACCTAAACATAAAATGGGCTGTGAGCAATAGTGCCAGTGTAGTTCAAACAGAGCTAAAGGGGATTGTCATAGCAGCAAAAAAAATAATCAGAAATAATATCACTTGAAGGAACATGCTCATCTATACAGATAGCAGACAAGCACTACTCACCCTGAACAGACCACGAATTTATTCAGGGTTAGTACTAGAAGCTTTGGCCGAAGTATTCATCAACAATGTGGTCACCTTAAGATGGATCAACGGTCACGCCACATCGAAAGGTAACCGTCTTGCCGGTTCTTTAGCCAAGAAAGCAGCCAACCAAATACTTTTTGGACCTGGCCCTTCTATTGGCCTGACAAAATCGGTAGTGACAGACCTAATTAAAGAACATTCCCTTGTGAAATTCAAGGAAAGATGGGATGAAACAAGAAACTGCAGAGTTGCCAGGGAGCTTTTAATTTATCCTGACAACAATGCAGCAAACAAATACTTGACTATAATCAGACAGAATCTGCGTCTGGTCACAGGCATTCTGACTGGTCATTGCCAAGTACGGAAGCATCTTCATATCATGGGGCTGTCAGAATCCGCATTTTGCAGAGGGTGCGAACAAGAAGATAAGACCATTGAGCATATCCTTTACGATTGCCCGACGCTCTCATTTATTAGAAGATTTGTGTTCGGCGAGTATCGACTAACACCGGCCGATATAAGAGAAGCACATCTTGGCGACGTTGTCAACTACATTAAATCTGTAGGCTGGCTCACGACCTAGGAGGTGCCTATCATCTTAGGAGGATGCACAATGGGTCTAAGTAGGCCTAAGTGCCGTGGGGGTAACCCATCCTCCCCCCTTTTCAGAAGGGCGATAAGTATTACTATAGTACCACTGCAGAGGAGCATATATCCTTGGAAAAAGTACAAGGTTTCATTTACCTCGGACATTAGGTCGTATCGTCTGGATCAGCTGCCGTCATCAAAGATGTTGTATTGGATTTCTTTATTAAAATAGAAATATCGATTGAATCGTTAATAGCAGTTGGATGTGATAGCACTAACGTCAACACAGGAACAAACGTGGGAATAATAAGACTCCTAGAAATTTCCCTAAATTGCCCTTTTCAATGGTTTATTTAAATGTTACATTTAAACAAATTTCCCTTACGCCACCTTTTAATTCAACTTGATGGTGTTAATCAAGGTCCAAAAGCTTTATCTGGTGCCATTGGAAAAATCAATACAAGCTTGTGAAACCCTTCCTCTAGTCAGATTCTCAAAAATTGGTAGTAAAATTTTGAGTACTGATTAGCAATATTTGTATGATATGTTGCATGTAGTATCATCTGAAGAATGCAGCAAAGACCTTGCGAGGATCATTTAAGAGTAGAATCCTTTGGTTACATGTCGCATCGGAGCGTCCCACGGAAAATCTGGTACACTTAGCTACATTTATTATAAAAGTATATGGTCCATTATGGTTCCATATCAAATATAAACCATTGTGTACTGATGGTCCACGACATTTGTGGAGATTGATTGCATATTCAAGATATATGCCGACTGATTTAAGGGAGATAGTAGATATCGTAATACAGAGGTATGGCTTCTTTGGCCACTTAGAGAACCTGCTTCTAGCGATGCTGGCAGATAACAGAGAGCACATCCGCAAGTAAGCATGCCGCAGAATAATTGCTTCTAGAAAAGAAAACAACTGTCACTTTCGCGTACCACTTTTTAATATGCTGGCAGAGGATTATAAAGAAATCATTTATTGGTATAAAACAGATAGGTTAGAACCATCAATATTAAAGCACGTCTCTGACGAGGACCGGGAAGATTTTTTATCTGGTCATGAAACTGACCCACCCTTTTCCGAAATTATCTGTCACACTCAGGCCATTCAAAGATATGTACATTTAGTTTTAGAGGCATCATCTAAAGTTTGTAAAGAGGAAAAACGAGATGGTTTTATAAAATCTCGAATCGAGTCTAGGAAACTTATAAAATCATTTAATTCTAAGTCAGAATTTAGGCTTAAATAACTTTTTGTTTGTGTTAATAATAATATGCGTTCTAAGTTGAATATTTGTTAATAATAACATATTTGTTGTATATCGGTACACGTTCCTTTTAAGCTCAATATGTTTTGGCAGCTTCAGTTTTGTTGAATTTTTAGTTTTATTTTTGTTTTTCTATATTATTATTTCTATACTTACTTTAAATATTTCTGTTCGGAGATTTTGACTTGGTTCTATCTTATAGATATGTAAAGTGTAGTGCTATTTAAATAGGATTTCATATTTTACTGTTAGGCTTTTGAGACACCTCCAAAAATGTTCTGAGAGTCTGTAATTTTTGATCACACACTTTTTTAACATTCAGGAATAGTTTACACATAGAGCCGAATCGGATTAAAAAAAAAAAAATTTGAGGAGGTTTGGGCACCTGAATGGGTTGATTTAAAAAAATATTTTTTTTTGCCAAAAAACTTACTTTTACGAATGGAAACTTTTGCCACCCGGGTCATTATCAAATTCGAAAAAAAAGTTTTCTTCGATCCTACCTAATCTTTATTGTAAAAAAATGAATTTTTTATGGTTACAACCTGGTCAGGTATTCAATTAATACGTTCAGTGGCATCGACGCCGTACGGCGTAATTCTGCTTCCCTAGGTACGTGACACGACGCCGTACGGCGTCAAATATTTAAAAGCATCTGGTGACAGAACGCCGGACGGCGTCCTAATAAGCATATTGCCCAATGTTATTTGGATCGCTACTGTCCCGTATCATGGGAGCACATATACCGTAGTGTCATATCAGCTGATTATCCCCTCCCAGTCGCCCTGACCACCTGTTCTCGGTAGACTTGGCTTTTGGCGCGCATTACGCCGTACGACGTCTCAGCGCCATTCGAAAAGCATTGCTAACCAGAGTAGTGTCTGTTTATAAAGAGAGTTTGTTTACAAAGAGTTTTTTGTCGGAGCAACAGAAAAAGTACCTACATAATATTATTCTTATATGATTTTATAATTAATTTCTTTAGTTGAATATTTGCACAATTCACAATAATATTTTTTTTGAGGTCATAAAATAAAGTTGTATTGCCTACAGTTTTATAAATAGCTCAATACTTATTTGAATTCCAGATATATTGAGATAGCTATACAAACGATTCTTATGAGAGGGAGCAACGCAGGTTGAAACGCTTGTTTGACGAGTTATCTTCTGGATCTGAACTTAAAGAATAAGATCCATATGGATCGGATCAGGACTATATACCAAGTGAAAATATTTTAGAGTCAGATGTGGAGCATGACAAAGCAGATTTTATCTCCAATTCGGAGGCTAAAAATGACCCCAATAGTGATCAAGACCTTCCTCCAAGTTCATCACCAAGAGTGTTTGTTCAGCAATCTCAAAACAATTGGAATAGCGATTGGGAGGACACAACAACAGATATACCAGATTTTGACTTCGATGAAGCTAGCAACTGTTTGAAAATCATCCTTGATGACAATTCCAGTCCACTTCAGATATTTGAAAAGCTTTTCACTCCTGAAATACAAGAATATATTTTACAATGTTCAAATGATTATGGAAATAGCTTAGTCAACATCAACAGACCAAAAACTAGACATTGCAGAGACACAAATTTCCGCCCAATTTCTATTGATGAAATAAAGCAATTTCTTGGCTTATGCTTGCTTCAAGGCCAGATCTACAAAAAATATGAAACGCTATTTTTCTTATTGTGATCCGTTGTATTATCACCCAGTCTTCAGTTTCACCATATCTGGAAAGCGTTACCAACAAATCCTCAGCGTTTTCTGCTTTTCTCCTCCTGGTTCGAGATTCAAAGACAAAGTTCAATCCCTTCCCGATATATTAATCGCTCAATTCGAGAGCGTCTACGGTCCAGGCAAGGAACTTTCTCTGGATGAAAGCCTCTTACATTTTCGTGGAAGATTAGGATTCCAAGTGTATATAAAAAACAAGAGAAGTAGATATGGCATCAAGTTCTTCGAGGTAACCACTTCAGATGGGTATCTTCTCAACATGGAAATGTACGGTGGTGCTCAAACTGCAGCACTTGACAATAGTATCAGTAAAACCACCACTCTCGTACTAAGACTGCTGAAGCCCTATCTTATGAAAGGACACCACATTATCATGGACAACTACTACAACAGCTACGAGTTATCAAAGAAGCTTTTGAAATTGAAAATACACACAAAGGAACTCTAAGGGCTAATCGAAAGAATAATCCCCAGGAAAGTTGTGTCAAAAAGGGGGAACATATCTGGCAACTCGGAGGAAACGTATATGTCTATAAATATAAGGACAAGAGAGGTGTTCTCGTGATTACAACTCGAAACCATCCACGCTTGGTGACAACGATAAACAAGTTTGGAATAGAATATGTGAAGCCTAAAGAAGTTGTAACTACATGTCCGAAATCGATAGATGCGATCAAAGGACTTCAACATACTCTTCTTCACGCAAGATGCTTGGATGGTACAAAAAAGATATGTTCCGTATCAGTTTGGAATGCATTCTACCTTTACAAAAAGTATTTCAAAGGCGCTACCAGAAAATACTCTTATCTTCAATTCAGGGATAACTTGATCAAATGCCTCCTAAACCTGCCCGAAAACATCGAGACAAACAGCTTAGTAAGAACGAGCAGACACAGCAACACAAGTTTTCAAAATTCTGTACCAGAAAAAAACTTAGGTCATTGGCCCGAGAAAATTCCTGGTGTCCCAGGACCTAATTATGGAAAGAAGTCTATTTTTCTAAAGTGTAAACTATGTACTATGAAACCAGCTTCCGATGCAAGGGATGTGTTGGAAAACCACCTTTGTGTCCTTCCTGTTTTGAGAAGTGGCATAACAAATAGATGTAACACTTTTGGTAGAATGTAGTTGTAATAATAAGAATTTTTTTATTATGGTTAGAAACGCTTTTGTTTTTGAATATATTTTTTTTACATTTTTTAAGTGTTTTTATTTATAACGCCGTTCAGCGTCATGCGAAGACAAAAGCCAAAATATTTTGACAGCGTGACAGAACGCTTATCGGCGTCATCACAAAATAATAAAAAAACCCACATAATATATTTTTTTCACACCAAATTCAAATAAATTACTTACCTAAAGCAGTAAAGAATCTACTCCCACAATAAAACGGTAGTGTCACATAAAGTGGAATTTCGATAAGGGAACTGTCACTGAACGTAATAATGATCATTATTTATTGATCTATATTTAATTACCAATATGTATTAATATGTTATGATCAATACTTAATTATCAATATTTAAATATCAATATTTAATTATTAATATTTGATGATCAATGTTTAATTATCAATATTTAAGACTAAATATGGACCATACGAAAATGTGATAGATTTGTAATATAAATGTTAATAGATGCTAATTATTTTGGCTTTTAGTTCAATATTTAAGCTTACTGAGTGTAAAGAAATGTAATTTTTAATTTATTAATGTTTTTAAATAATTCCTTAAAATTAGTCATTTTTTAATGGATTGAATTTTTATGAGACATTAGGTTTGAGAACACGTTTTTAAAAATAATATTTATATTTACAAGAAAGACCAACGTTATTGACTACTTTAATAAAGTGCATAGGTAAAGGTGTTTTTACCCAGTTTTTATAATAATTATATAACGATTCATGTATTGTAAGTCAACTATAAATGTAGTAAAAGCTCTCAGCTGCCAAACCTAGCTGTCAAAACTAGCAACACCATGTATACAGTAACCCTTTTCAACAATGGTTATCACTCATTAGGAGGAAAGTTGCATTACATTAAACAAAAAATCCGTTGTTGTTTTTAAAAATAAATAATTTTTTCACCTAAACAACCCTCATATAACGTTTAAAACTATTATAACTTTTATGAGACTGAGATCGTATCTCTGAAAATTTTATTAATTGCTCCGTTAATCTTCACCATTCTCCACTTTCACAGCATACGCTTAAGCAAAAATATGTCACAGTCCTAGCAGTACAGGTACGCGAAAATTTACCATTATTTGCTCTAATTTAAAATATACAAAAAAGTACTAGAAGAGTTGAAATTATTTTTTTCTTAAAAATTATTCTTCTTCTTAAAGAATTAACATATTTACTTAGAAAGAAAAATTTTTGATTTTTTTAAAATTTGTTATTGAAAGTGAACAATAAAGTTCAAATATAATGTAAAAAAGTTTAAACAAAATTCATCTGTAATAATTTTACTTTTTATTGACATCTATATGAAAAATATGAGAATATATTTTTTATAATAATTTTTATATATATAAAACTTTTAAAAGAAACTGAATTTAATGAGAAAAAATTTCTTGATTTAACGTAAAACTATAATATTTCTTTTTTCTAAGCCTCCTAGAACACTTCGTAAACCATTTCTCTGAGTTTTATTATTTCTTCCTCATATATTTTTAGTTATGTAGCTATATTTTTGAAATAACTATACACCTGTCGTTTACAGTTTTTCCAAAAATAATAGAAAATTAGAAAAATGTCTCCACTTTGTATATACTAGATGCAGATTGCTGCTATGAGGTTACTTGTCAATAAACGGATTTTAAAATAAAGATTGACTTTCTCATTTTCCTACTACTAAAAAAATTTAAACCCAATAAATACAGGATCAAGTAGATTTGAACTGTATAAAATTGTCGGCTACCATCTTATATTTTGATTGAATTATTTATATAGGAATGAAACAAAAAGGTTAGTCAGTTGTATTGATTTAAATTTTTCCTTTTTATAATCCTTTATATTTATGTACCAAGATAGTAGCCAAATATTAACTAAAAATCAAAGATTGGGTATCACACTCATATGTATATTAAGAAAACGCGAAAAAAATAGTAGTTTCGATATAAGAAATTCTTTGATTATTCATGAAAATGATACTTTGAATAATTTTTCATTAGCAGATATTGATTTCTCAGTGTTCTGATCTAACTAATTAGAGCAAAAAATGCGTGAACCGCTAGGACTACAGAATCCAACACTTCATTTCTTCCTTATCCACAGCCGCCTAGATTAAGATGAGCATAAAGTTGATTGATATTTATTGGAGATATAATCATCTAGTTAGGGTAGCAGCCACGAGGGTGCAAAGTGACAAGGCGAGCAACGCCATC